GTGGAATTTGCCAGTACCCCTTACAAAGATCGATTGTAGTGAGGTACTGGCCCCTTGCCATTTTATCTAGTAGCTTGTCTATCCTGGGCATAGGGTAGGCATCAGACACTGTTTTGTCATTTAGCCTCCTGTAGTCTACACAGAAGCAGGTCATCCCGTCTTGCTTTGGTACTAGCACTACCAGAGATTCTCACCCTTCTCCCGAACAGTATTTTGAAGGGGGAGAAACCGCTGGATTCTTGAGGAACCTCTCTGTAACGGAACCGCTGGCACCCCGACCGGGTACCTTCCGCCGACGGATGCTCCTAGTGCTTTCCGAGGACTCCAAGCACTCTGCCTGACACCATAACCACTGCAGACCCCACGAACCGCCGCAGCTTGGTTGGGATCTCACCGTCTCCACCCACTCTGGACCCAGGACCAGGATCCAGCTTCCAGCAGGTCGACCTCTCTCCGAATTCCAGAGAGCAGGAACAGGAACAAGCTCTTAGCAGAGCTTAGTGATTATACCCTGGGGAGTATAGTGATTATAACAATCCCCAGATAGCACAAGTATCTTTTGGGGCCTGGCTGGCAGCATGGATATCTGGCCCAAACTGGTTTCAGAGTCTTCTATTCTGGAGATAATTGAGAAGTAATGCAATTATCTCCAAGGACAGAGGCAAAACTCCATTAGCCACATGGCAGACAAAGGACAACAAAAGACATAAAAATACATACTGTTACATTTATCACATAGAACCTACACATTTCCAATTTACCGAACACATAATAGCATATATAATATTGCAGACCGCCTGAATGCAATCTGCTACACAGTCTTAAAGAGACATTGTTCCTAAAAGTCATAATATGTCCAGGGATGGTTTTTAAAGGGCCAGCAGCAGCACCATACAAATCCAATATGCCCAAATATTGTACTTGAAGGGCCAAATAACCCAGGGCCATAGTCATGAGGCAAGAGGCTGGCAATCAGACTCCTCCAACAGCCAGGGGAAAATCCGGTGACAAAAGGCGTTTTGTCACACTCTCTTTATGTAAAAAGCAGGTGGTGTAAAAATCTTTCCAAGTCTTTATTGGTGTCTACGAATGTACGGATCATTTGCTTTAGTGTTCTGTTAAACCGTTCACAGAGGCCGTTGGACTGCAGGTGATAGGCTGAGTTCAGGATGGGTTTAATCCCACATATCTTCCAGAGTTGGTGGATCACCTCCGTGGTAAATTGGGTGCCTCGATCCGAAATAATCTCTTGGGGAAATCTCATACCAGAGAAAATTTGCTTCAAGGCATCCGCTATCGTCTCAGTGTGGATATTGGTCTGCACTACCGTTTCTGGGTATCTAGTGGCATAGTCTACTACGGTCAAGATGTACTTCTTGCCAACAGGGCTTGGCATAGTCAGTGGCCCTATCAAGTCCACAGCTACTCTGCTCAATAATGGGGAAGGGATGAAGTTTTGCTTTATAGCTCTAACCCACCCTCTGGTAGGTGTCACACGTTTGGCAGTACTGCCTAATATCCTTTGAAATCCCTGGCCAGAAAAAAACTAAAAACCTCCATTTGTTTAAAAATATATAGGGATGTGTAAAGAGCGCAGGTAACTTTTTCCCTTTGGTTTTTACTATATGTATTTTTGGCTGATGTGTACTATAGTCATTGCTGCCGCCCAGGAGTAATGGGAGTTTGAGCGCAGGACTCGTTTCTTTGTATTTGTATTCACTTTTGTATCACACAGCTAGATTGCAATGCTGCTGCCCATCCCATGTGTTCCCTATTAAGGGTTAATAAGCATGTAGGGATGTATTTTAAAAATACCCCTTTCTGTCTCATTAGAGATATTTTTGCTAGAGGCTCAAGGAAGCAAGGCGAATGGTTAGCGTTAGGATCCACCTAAGAGGTCTGCCTTGATGTGGCAGGTGGGCTTACCATCTCATGGCCATTGGAGGTAACTAAAAACCTCAATTTGTTTAAAAATACATAGGGATGTGGAAAGAGCGCAGGTAACTTTTTTCCTTTGGTTTTTACTATATGTATTTTGGCTGATGTGTACTATAGTCATTGCTGCCGCCCAAGAGTAATGAGAGTTTGAGCGCAGGACTAGTTTCTTTGTATTTGTATCCAGAAGAAATGTGTCAAGAGCCGGTCTTCTGTTCGTGAGGTTTTATACAAAAACCACAATAGGTAAAATAATGCTGGTTCGTGAAGAATGCTCCTTGTGTTCGGTAGTTTGAAACTCCCAAACGCCGTTTGTCTGAGTTGCTGGGAAATAGAACTAGCAGAGTTCCATAGAGACCGGGGTTCGTGCGAGGGTGTTGCCGAAAACAGTTCCAGGCACTCAACGACCAAGTCTCGCAGGCAGCGTTCAGAAGACAAGATGGCCGCAACCCATTGTTCTCACCATGTGTATTCGTATGCATGAAATGACGGCCACCTAGGAGCATTCAAATAGTCTGCGGTTTTCGTATAGATGCATGGTGTTTTTAGTTTAGTCTCAGGGGTGGTCTCGTTTCGGGAAACGAACAAATTAACGAATGGAACCACATAAAGAACGACTGAAATGGGGAAAGCTGATAGCAGGGAGTACAATTAGCCGAATGGTGATGGGGTTATCCCTTCACAATACTGCTCAGATCCATTCGGTGAGCAAAAGATGACCGCCATGTGTTCGGTCATATGAACGGCGGCCACCGATCCGACCAGTTAGAACCTTGCATTTTTCTGGTGTGAAGATAGTCACATGGAGGCACACAACTCCCTTGGGTGGTCTTCCCGTTTGGTGGTTGGTTCGACTGACTAACAATATATTTATATTCTGTTCGGGAACCTCAAATAGTTGAACCAACTCAGTCTTTCATACAAATAAGTGGCTAGTTTTGCCACAGTCACATTTGCTGAGTGTGAGTTTATATATTTTTTTATGTTTGTGGCATTCGAAGTAAATGTGAATTTACCCTACATTTACATTGATGATTCCTTTTCTGGTGCATTTGAATAGAGAAGATTGAATCATAGGATTCGGGACGCAGCTATCACTGAATGTGAGCATTCGATTTGCAGTGAAGACAATACTTCTCAAGGTGACATTTAATTGCTTTGATTATAGTAAATGGTTTAACCCCTTAAGGACACATGATGTGTGGCATGTCATGATTCCCTTTTATTCCAGGGGTTTGGTCCTTAAGGGGTTAAATTACTGTGATTACATTTCTTGCCTCTTGTTGCTTGTGGATTGAAAGGTTTATATAAGAGGTTATTGCATGAGCTGTTACAAGAAATGAAAAAAAGTTAAATATCCAGTGCTAGATGCAATAATAGACAGCAAGCACTAAAATCTGGCAGACCAAGATGTAATGTATAGGGACTATGAGGAGGTGAAAAGCTTCCTCATTGGGAGGCCTTCAGTTAGCTTTCTTATATTTTTGGGGGGGACTTCCAAGTGCAAGCTTAGTGTTTTTGGCAACTAATGGAGTTTTCCCCTTATCCAAGATTGAAACCGCTGGGGGCGGAGCCAACTGCCGACCGGAATGGCAGCACAGTAGCAGAGCTCCGGCGAGGAAGGCACTCAATCCGCGGACATCGGGCTAACACACAAACATGGGACACCCCAAACGCACGCCCTCATCCCAGAGAACGTCAGGGAGGTCAGTGGCATCAAAAACCGGAGCCCTGACGAAATATTTCAGGGACTCCAAGGAGGCTCACGAAAGCATGGTAGGCCCCAATATGGCGCCGGACTCACCAGGCACTACATCCCCTCCCTCTAGCCCAGCTGAATCTGCAGGCTCCCTGGTACTACAAGACCCAGACCTAAAAGATATACTACACAATCTACCATCTAAGCAGGATATAGCCAACATGCTGGGGAAACTAGAAGCTGCATTTCAAACTAAACTGGAAAGTGTGGGAGCACATATTAAAGATAGAGTGAACACACTGGAGGATGACAGGGATGCGATACAACTCCAAGTGTCACACATACAATCTGTTATGGAAGCACACTCTGCACAAGCGTTTGATATACAGCGCTCATTAGACGATATGGATAACAGAGGTAGACGATATAATCTCAGATTAAAAGGGCTACCTGAACAGGACGCAGAAAATCTAACAGAGGTACTGCAAGAAATATTTAATCTCCTCATGGGAAAACAAGCTGATACACCAATCATGTTTGATAGGGCACACAGGGCACTGCGCCCCAGAGGAGCGCCAGCGGACAAACCGAGAGATGTAATCTGCCGTCTGCACTATTACTCCCAAAAGGATGACATACTCAAAGCACTCAGACAAGCCTCCCAGCCTTTACTATATAAAGAAGCTCCAATCTCGATCTACCCTGACCTATCCTGGCTGACGCTGCAGGCAAGACGGACTCTCAAACCCATAACAGACATCCTACGCCAGCGCAACATCAGGTACCGATGGGGTTTCCCCCTAGCGCTAAGTGTCAACCACCAAGGCAAAATATTTACCATCAACTCCACTCATGATGTTCCCGTCTTTCTACAAGCATTGGATTTACCGGATACAAGAGTACCCGACTGGTATGGACTACCACAACCACTACAAAGGGAACCAATGCAACAGCGCACAAGATGGCAACAAACGCCAAAAAGACAGAGACCAGAACAAACACTCTCCAGGGTGTCCACGCCAAGGGGAGGCCCCACAAATTTGTACTGACCTCCAAGTTCCCAAACCAACGCACACCAGGAACATACAGTACCACCAGAAGACCGCTAACATTTTGGCTGCAAATACTCTTCACTCTCCTCATCTCAGTGAGCAATTGGACTGCCACGGGTGGCAGGGCCTTGGGAGAGCGGCTCCCCCCCACCCCCTCCCCCAACGGGGATCCGCGCCTCTAATGCTACCGAACTCATTCGACAACCGCAAGTATTTTTAATATGCACATGCACTGATGACACTAGCTAAAGCCCCGGGGCCACAGTAACTACAACAACCATATGGCCACGTGAATGACATTTCTGTAGGAATGATGGGGTCTTGGGGAGGCGGCCACCCGGCTGGGTGCCCGTGTCCCCGACACCACCTGACCGATTAGACGCTCTGGGCTGGATGCCTATATTCAATCTCTCCAATAGAAAGGTTATATGTACACACCACCCTACTGCTACCTGTGGATCTCAACACCCTTCCTCACGCCCGCACGAGCTAGCCCCACAGGAAGAAAAGAGACACTGAGAGATAACAGTCTAGCAAAGCTCCTGGGGAATGTTAATGGTTAATGATTCATGTGAATTCTCTGTTATATGATTGTTGTTATGTTTTAGCAGCGAAATGCCTACTTCAGGTGATACTGACATTGTCCCAGACACAGATTATGTATAATAACTTACACACATAAGCCCACTAAGTACAAAAACAAATATAGAGTGGATGAGGCCTATCCCGGACTCAGAACCTTAAAGACTTATAACCCGCTACCCACTTCCCCCCCCTATAAATCACCCTTACAAGTGGTAACCAACCATCGCCTACCCACCATCTCCGCCAAAACCCCCCCATTTGTCCATCCCTACCGGACGGGTAAATAGCCTATATAGGAGACGGTTATACATGCCCCAGAAGTATCAGACCAACATCTGATAACAGTCAGGTAACCACTGACTGTGCGGTGCCAAAAAGGACCCCATCTAGATAGGCCCCCCTAGACTGGGTCAGACACCATCGATTGACTTAGTACTACCAAAACTTGAACGCTATTATAGCAACTGTATATAGTTATTTTTCTTTTTTTCTTTTTCTTTTTCTCTTTATTCTATATTTCCATTTGTTGTTATATATCATTGAAATTGTTACACAACACAGATACCGCTGACTAATATACGACCACTGAAAGCAATGGCACAGACACAAACGACTGCCACACCAGTACAGCAAATACGGATATGTACGATCAATGTAAGAGGATTAAATATGCCGGAGAAGCGCACACAAACCCTGATGGAGCTACATCGGCTCCTGCAGGAAACCCACTTTAGGAAACATAACGCCCCCTCTCTAAGAGACAATAGGTACCCCCACGGCTTCTTCAGTGACTACACACATGCTAAGTCTAGAGGGGTGGCGATACTGATATCGGCAAAACTTCCCTTTACATATCATTCTCACGAGGTAGATGACAATGGGAGACTACTTATGGTAAAGGGACAAATAGGCTCCAACATGGTAACCTTCGCGAACATGTACTTACCTAACAGGAAACAGGGGAACACACTCAGGAAATATCTACGTAGAATAGAAAATTTCACAGAAGGAATATTAGTAGCAGGGGGTGATGTAAACGTCTCCCTCGACTCCACCCTTGACACGACTTCACAAATAAGGACTTACCAAACCCATACACGACGTCAGATTCAAAAACTCTTAGACGACGCCCAACTATATGACTGTTGGAGAACACTTCACCCGAAATCCAGAGACTTCTCCTTTTACTCCCCCATAATGGGCTCCTACTCGAGGATAGATATGCTCTTCATGCCACACAGATTTCTACACCTCATACAAAAAAGTAGTTATGGCCCCATCACATGGTCGGACCATGCACCCTTAACACTGGAGATTCAAATCCCCTCCTTACCACTTACATCTTTCCACTGGAAGCTAAATGACTTATTACTCAATGATGCCACAATCACCAATAGAATAAGGGATACACTTACAAACTATTTTCTAGACAACAACGACCCGAATATGTCCCCTACGGTAATATGGGAAGCACACAAGTGTGTACTAAGAGGCGAGATAATTGCATTAGCCTCCAAACAGAAAAAACTCAGGGAACTCAGAATTAAAACACTCACGCAAGAAATACGGCGTTTGGAGACCGCACACAAAGCCAATAATACGATAGACCTCTACATACAGCTGACAGACAGACGCACGAAACTACAACAGCTGCTAAATGCCTCAGTCAAGAGGAAATTACTACTCACCAGACACTCCTTCTACACACAAGGGGGGAAATGCGGCCGCCTCCTCGCTAATGCACTCAAGAAAAAAAGACAAAACACATTCATATCCCATATAAAGACACAAGCAGGTACACTAACCGCCATGCTCCCAGATATCACGAAAGCCTTTCACGATTACTACTCAACTTTATACCACCTTTCTGACAAATCACCGCCCAAAGAAGTAATAGATAAGTACCTATTGTCCAGAATAAAGCGTGTGATACCTACCGCAGACGCTCAATCCTTGGATGCACCCATCACTTTAGACGAATTTAGAGCAGCGGTGAGGCATCTGCCAGTGGGCAAGAGTCCAGGACCGGATGGTTTCACAGCTAAATATTACAAACTCTTCGCCTCCACACTGAGCGTACCTTTCACAACGGCATTCAATGCTCTAACAACACACACCACCCTGCCTGGCTCAGCCCTGGAAGCCCACATTACCCTAATCCCTAAACCCGGTAAGGATCCCACCGACTGCGTCCTCTCCTCCAACTTCTCATACACTCAGACCAATCAGGATTCGTCCCAAACAGAGAGGCTAAACATAACACCAATAAAATACTGAACCTGATCCATTTCTCTCAACACACCCCCACACAAAGCGTCATCTTCTCGGTCGATGCCGAAAAAGCATTCGACCGAGTGGATTGGGCTTTTCTCCTAGCCACACTGACAGCGTTAGGCCTCGGCCCTAACTGGATCCGGTGGATCCAATCCATATATTCAAACCCAACTGCTAAAATTCTAATTAACGGCCAACTTTCGCCACCTGTGCGAATATACAATGGAACTAGACAGGGGTGCCCCCTCTCCCCACTACTCTTCATACTAGTCCTAGAACCATTCCTACAAGGAGTGAGAGACAACCCTGACATACACGGATTCCAAATAAACAACCAAGAATATAAGGCTTCCGCTTTTGCAGATGACCTGTTATTCACGATAATGGACCCAATCACTTCCATGGGCCCCTTAGTGGAAGAACTAGAGCAATACCAACTAGTGTCCAACTTTAAAGTGAACTTCACCAAAAGTGAAATCCTCCCTTTACGAATAGACCCTCATAACTCCAACTCTCTTAAAGCTCGATTCCCTTTCAAGTGGACAAACCGATAAAATACCTAGGGGTACAACTCCCGAAGAACCTCCCCTCCCTATACTCTCTCAACTACAAACCTCTCTTAGAAACAATTACCCAAGATCAAGCGCAATGGTCGAAACCCCACTTTGGATGGTTCTGCAGGGTGAACATCCTAAAAATGACCATTCTACCCAAAATACTTTACCTCCTACAAGTACTACCAATCTCACTCCCAAAAGCCTTCTTCACTACGGTGAGACGGCTCTTCTCGGAATTCATTTGGGCGCACAAACGCCCTCGACTCAGTTACACCACTCTGACTAAAAGGAAAAACAGAGGGGGCCTGGGCTTACCTGATATTGAAACCTACTATAAGGCAGTCATACTACATCGCATGTACGAATGGTCAGCACCACACCCACACAGACAATGACGAACTATAGAAGAGACACAATGCACACAATGCAGTCTGGCACCCCAAAGGGCGAATGCTACAGAAGCCGCCCTTCTCCCAACACCCGACCATCACTCCTGCACTGAAGGTATGGAACCAAATCAGGGCTTCCCCAGTACTATCCCCACATCCATCCCCGCGCTACACGATATCAAACAACCCCTTTTTCCCCCCGGGCTGTCAAACCCAATTCCTACAGCATAACACACAATCACGACAACTTACACTACAAGACGTGATACAAGAGGGAAACATCAAACCAGTGAAGGACCTCATAGGTGACTCCCAGATAACAACAATGCATACTTTCCAGCACGCACAATTGACACACTTTCTTAAGGCCGACAATACCCTCCTAACGACACTCCGGCCACAGACTGAGTTCGAAACTTTATGCCAAACGTAGGGGATCAAAGGCAAACACCTCTCAACTATGTACAAACTCCTCCAAAAAGACAACAATACTAGTTTCCCACCCTTCACACAAACATGGGTGTCCGACCTGAACACATCAATTCCCGATCTCGACTGGACGAAAATTCTAACCAAGGCCCACTCTACTACAACAAATAACACAATACAAGAAAGTAACTACAAAAAAATCACCAGATGGCATTATACACCAGACAAATTGAGTAAAATATACCCAAACACCTGTAACTCCTGCTGGAGATGCAAACATACCCTAGCTACATCAGCACACATATGGTGGTCCTGCCCTATAATAAATGCATTCTGGAAAAAAATCTCAGACCTGATTAGAAACATCACAGACATCTCATTACCCTTCCTCCCAGAAACATACCTATTCTTGCTACCCCCCACCGACATCCCTAAGCCACAACTCCACCTCATCCACCATCTACTGACGGCAGCAAACTTACTAATACCTATAAAATGGAAACAGACTCTCGCACCCTCAGTTAGGGAATGGATACAAAAAGTGGAAGATACTAGGGTTATGGAAGAACTCACCTTCTCACTTACCCATAGATACTCACATTATAAACAAACCTGGGAACTCTGGAACCTATTTCTAGACAGAAGCAATCAGGAGTGGGGAAAGGGACGCAATTGAGAACACACCACGGTAAGACCGAAAATTAACACCATACGCACTAGCTACAGACCACGACAAAAACCCCACAATAAGGACGAACCTAACAATCTCTATAGCCACTGCTATCTCACACGAATTCCGACCCAAACAACATAGACTGGATACTTATTTGTAATAAGAGAATCAATTGTTATCCATTTATGCATACTGAAAAATAAAAAAATATAAATAAAAAAAATAAAAAAATCATGTGTTTTTTAAATGGCTCTTGTTCATCCACAGCATTACTTAAGTAGGTGTCTAAATAATTACCGAAATATTGCTGCGCCATATGCTGGTCACCAATATTATTTTTGGGGAATCACATTTTGTAAATTCTTTGAACAATTCCATATCATACAGCAATAAAGTCATAAACATGCATTATTGTAAGTTTGAATAATAAGACAGAACAAAAAGAAAAAAATGCAACTGTGGAAACTTCAATTTCAAGTTGTATTATCCATGCATATTCAGTGCCAATCATGGAAGTGCACACAGTTGAACACGATAGACACAGAGATAATTATAGTTGTTTTTGGAAATCCACAGATTCCGTGGAAAGACTACAGTGGGTCCAGATCTCTAAGCAAGACGGATTCTGACCTACAGCTTCACAGTGTGAGGTCCTATGTACCAAGCAGTTGCTCCATTAATTGGAACCACAGGTTAAGGGGAGCCACAGAATATGGGGGATCAGGCTACATTTCAAATGTGGATCATCAGGGGTGGGAGTATTTGGTTGTTGTGTGATGGAGCAAAAACAAGGATGTCTTGAAGGGAGGTGGTTGATTTGAGAATCCAATTAATTTTTCCCCCCCTATTTGGGGTGAGTTAAGGAGCAGTCCCACCAGATATAAAGGAGGGTGTCCTCATTTTTCTCACATCTCCAGCATCGGCTGTCATTTGAAGGGTCTATGGAGTGTAGAAGCTGCGGTGTCCCGTACTAGCAGGACAGGAGTTTAAATGTGGACTCTTGAAATTTAACTGAGATTGCACAATGCTGGGTCAGGTCACATATCTTCTGCTACTGTTGTGGTGTAAACTCCTGTCCCAGTGCTTCCTCCCACCTCCACCTGAATTTAGGTGAGGGTGCCTTCGTATGATTTTGAAGTGTCACAAATAGAATCGAAATTAATTGTTCTATCTATTCTAGAGGGTCTGGGTCATCACAAAGGTATTCAAATTATTTAAGTTCCCTTGAGAAGAGGAGGCGCTGTGGGGTAGATGAGTAAAACTCCAAAAGTTACCTGTAACGGAATTGTGCCCTAAAATGAAATTCCCAACGAATGATCCTAACTTACCCTGCTGGAGCGCATGTTGGATTTAAGGGTATGGCATCCCCTACAGATTCCGGAAGACATCGGTTTCCATACTCTGTGGGAAGGCAAGAGTTAAAGATTACAGGCAAAGTGGGATGGGAATGAGGATAGCTCCACCTTTGGGGCAATAGCATGCCAAATACGGAGAGTGACTGAAATTAAGGGGTGGGGAGCTGCTATTCTAGCTCTCTCCAACGTGTCCATCCACACCAACACCACTAGTGGTCACCAATGTGTTCCTGAAAATGTATGTTTCCATTTTTATAATTTTCTGCTTCATAATCGTATCACAATAACACCTCTTGTCTATTAACTGTTATCTATGTGAATTTTGTGCAGTCTATGTCCTGCTTGAGAAACCTACAGCAATCTCGTTATAAATTTGGAGTCGTGGTTTTAGGTTTTTGAATGGTGGATGGCCCATCACATTAAAAAGATTGACAACTGCAATCTACTTGGCGCAGAGTAGACTATTTACATTTGTAGTGTGTTAGATGAATAGTTAAGTAGCCACTAATGTCTATTTCACAAAGGCAGTTGACTGGATTTTTAACCAGTCTTCCAATATGGACAGTGAGGATTGGTTTAAAACATCTCTCATCCACATCATCATTTGGTATTAGGACCCAGATTTAATATTGTTGCATAAACTTTTCAAATTATTTAATATTTTATGAACTTTATATGAACTTTAAAAAAATTAGTTTTTTCCCTTCAAAATATAAACATTAAAAAACATTTTATATTTTAATTTTTTTTATAAGTATTAAATCATCAGAAAAAGCTCATCCGAAATTATTAAATTGAGGCCCAAATTTGGAGATTGAGGTTAGTACATTCCAAGTTTTGCTCTCACCATCTTGACAAAAAAATTTAAATACATTAGTAACCTGTAATGTAAGATATTGCAGAATGTGTCAGTATAGAAAATTAAAGGACCACTATAGTGCCAGGAAAACACTCGTTTTCCTGGCACTATAGTGTCCTGAGGGTGCCCCCACCCTCAGGGTCCCCCTCCCGCCCGGCTCTGGAAGGGGGAAAGGGGTAAAAACTTACCTTTTTCCAACGCTGGGCGGAGAGCTCTCCTCCTCCGATCCTCCTCTTCTCCTCCCCGTCAGCTGAATGCGCACGCGCGGCAAGAGCTGCGCGCGCATTCAGCCGGTCACATAGGAAAGCATTCATAATGCTTTCCTATGAACGCTGGCGTGCTCTCACTGTGAAAATCAGTGAGAAGCACGCAAGCGCCTCTAGTGGCTGTCAATGAGACAGCCACTACAGGAAATAGGGGAAGGCTTAACCCATTCATACACATATCAGTTTCTCTGAAACTGCTATGTTTATAAAAGAATGGATTAATCCTAGCTGGACCTGGCACCCAGACCACTTCATTAAGCTGAAGTGGTCTGGGTGCCTAGAGTGGTCCTTTAACCCAATTTCAAAACACTGGGCCTGCAATCTATATGGACAAAGTAATCAGTTTGAGTTTCTGCATTTTTTTTTTTTATTACATACATTACTTTGTTTTCCAGCATTTTACATAAATTACTGCAAACAATGCCAGGGACTGAAATGCACACGAAGTGTAAAAAAAACACAAAAAAAACAAAAACAACAAAGTATCTTTGTTGTCCCTTTTTAAATATTTTTATGATTATAATTGTTATTCTTTGCCTGGCACCGTTTATCTGAGCACAAAGTTGCTATATATCACTGATACATCTGTATTTTAAAAACTAGAAAGAATTAATTTGTTTTTTGTTTCCAAATCTATTGCTCCAGACAAGAAAAGTAAAGAATCTCTTATGTCAGGTTCTAGTAAGAAAATCCTATATTTAATATTTAGGATAAGTGTAATTTTGCCAGTACTTGTAGCCACCCGACCTAATGAAATGCAGTTATCCAATTAAGACATTGTGGACAAAATAGATCTGTTTGTAGAACATTGGTATCTCATAGAAAAATCTATGCCAATATGAATGGTGCAATTTCGAAATTGTTCTATACCTCTATACAAAAATCACTGATAAAATAATACTTACTATAGTTGATTTACAATCATGTCCCCTGCAGAGCTCTGTGTAGGAATTGTACCGAACATATATAACCCAGCTGCCAATAAATACAGCCAGCCATGATAAGAAGAGATATTTTATCCGCATATAGGACAAACGAGCCTGTAGAGATATAGAAAATAATTAGGTTAATAAGAAAAGAACGCTAGACTCCATAGTGACCAATTTTAAAACATGGATTTTATTCATTAATTATTAAACTGTGAACTGTGGAACATTTACAAAGCAGTACAATTTGTGGGCCAGAATAGTTCAAATTAAAAACATTCTACAATTTAGCAACTGAGGTCCAAAAAAGTCCTGCTCAATTCACATACTTCCCAGTTTGGTGGATAAATCGAATGTGGAGAGTCTATCACTCAGACAAGGTTAATCACTCAAGTGAAAATTACTAGAAATCTCACATTCCAGGTCAAAATCTCAAATTTTAGGTCATAACAGTCATGTAGAATTGACTTTTTCTAAATCCGCTATTTAGGTCTAAATTTCGAAATTCCCAGCAATTCTCTCTTTAACAGCCCTGACCATGTTGATGTTCTGAACTGAAAAATAGGTAATCTACTAAATTCTTAAAGGGAAACTAATAGCATTGTAACCATTACTACTTATAGACCAGTACACGTACTCACTCAGCAGCGTTTTAGCAGATTGAAAAGCCCTAGATGTTATCAAATGGCTCTTAAAGAGTCCCCCTAAAATTCTGCTTTAACAACCAACGTGATATATATATATATATATATATATACAATTTATTTTATTTAAACCATAACGGCCTGTTGCCGCTACACACCAATAGGCTTATCTGTCTTTTTCATTAACTGAAACAATATTAATTACTAACTGTACTACATGAGTGTTAAATTGAACCACATTTACCAGCGAGTTGCTATTTTTTTTTTATATATATCCAATACAGATATATCTTTACGAATACTATGACAATTCTCTGCTTGAAGCTATATCCAGAGGACAGTGTTGCAGATTTTCAGGATGCCAACGAGGTCTGAACTCCTTTCATGCAACCTATATTGCAGTGTGCCTGTTTTAGCTGTGAAGTGGTTGCATTTGAAGCAGTCTGTCTAACTGAAACATTCACAGTTACCTAATCTGCAGCACTTTGAGAAGTCTGCACAATGCTTTCAACAGGTAAACAAATGATTTGCCAGAATCTTCTTTTAAGCATTAAACTTTAAAAACTTAACAGTAACTACGGTCAGGAAATGCTAAGATACAATGTTGTTAAATGTCATGACTGATCTTCATTAAACCTCATTCACTGCAAAGCACTATTTTTCTACATAAGAATAACGCAGTAGCCAAGGGCAGCCACCTATTCAGGTGCCCGGATATATTAATATAATGGCTGTTACAAGCAGTGAATCAGACTAATGCTCATTGATCTGTGATTGAGTGCCTCAAATCAGGTAGGAGTTGGGGAAATTCTATCAAATGCTCTGTGGATAAAAGACAATTCTTTCTCCGAAGTAGCACTTCATCAGCGACTTTCCCAGACAGAAGCTTTTTTTTTTTTACTTTGAAAAATAAATGTTTAGGAAGAGGCATCTGAATGTGCATTTCTTATATATGTCACGTAACACTGCAGTATGCGGGAAGTAGGTTCTCTTCTAACAGATGAAGACGTTGATGTGCACAGTCTCTCACCAGACAGTGATCTCCATCACTAACGAAAAGGATTTCCTTACCATTAAAGTGGTCCTAATGTTCACGCCTCAGATTAGTGATGTTACAGCAATGGCCGTCACTCTACGACTGATGGCACAGAGGCATCGGTCCTGCAGATAAACAAGATT